TGGCATAAAGTTTAGAAGTCAAATTACTAGATCAAATGAACTTTACCTATCTGTTACAACATAGCCCCTGCTTCATTAAAACGAAATAAAACAAAGAAAAATAAAGCCAACATGATTCCTTTACTGAGGACACCAGGTTCACATATGTGAAAACAAGGTTTCACAGTGGAAAATAGAAAACAAAGAAAATTAAATGAATAACATCGGAGGAAATGGAGGTCATGAAGAAATAAGGTAGGGGAGGAAATAAGCAAGTAGCTTGAGTTGACTGGAGTTTTGATTCTCAATGCTACTTATAATCTTTAAGGCTTACTGGTCTATTTGATTCAAAATTTGCTGTAAAATGACGTTTTCTAAGTTTTCACAGATGTTGGGGATAGTCAAAGGGGCTGTATTCAGGAGAGTAGATGGTAGGGCTTAAAAAAAAAAAAATCCTCTCCCACCGGGTACTAGCGGCTCACACCTGTAATCCTAACTACTCAGGAGGCTGAGATCTGAGGACTGCAGTTCGAAGCTAGCCCAGAAAGAAAGTCCATGACTCTCATCTCCAATTAACTACCCAAAGAGCTGGAAGTGGAGCTGTGGCTCATGTGGGAGAATGCTAGCCCCGAGCAAAAAAGCTCAGGGACAGGGCCCAGCCGAGTTCAAACCCTAGCTCTGGAAGGCACGTACACACAAATATCCCATCTATAAGCAATGAAACCAAAAACAATCAGCAGCACGAAAGGATGGTGGCTGAAAAGAAACCTGAAAGCAGTCAGATATTCGTAAAAGCTACACAGTGACATGCCTATTCTGAGCAATAATCACATTTCCTTAAGCTGTCCAAGAACTGAGACTGTAATTGGCTAAAGTTCCAGTCAGTGAAGGTAGCAAAGCAGGTAAGACCCACCCCCCAACATATGCAAATATGCAGACACAAGATGAACCCTAAGAGGGAATAAGGTAAGTTCAGGGTCTGGGTGCAGTGGCCGTCACAGCCACAATACAAAGAAGCATCCATTCCATGAGCCACTGCATTCCAAACCAGCCCAGGTCTCCAGTGCCTGTGTAGCTTACCATTTCACAGCATCTCAGAACAATTAAATCAGAATCTAAGTAATGCCTACCCATTTGCAGATGATACAACCCGGGCTATTTGCCTAAAGTTGCACATGCCTTAGACAAGGTATCTTTCATTAGTGTGTGTGTGTGTGTGTGTGTGTGTGTGTGGTGTGTGTTGCCAGTCCTGGGGCCTGAACTCAGGGCCTGGGCGCTGTACCTGAGCTTCTTTTTGCTTAAGGCTAGTACTCTACCACTTGAGCCACAGTGCCACTTCCAACGTTTTCCTGTTTATGTGGTACCAAGGAACCGAACCCAGGGTTTCAAGCGTGCTAGGCAAGCACTCTACCACTGAGCCACCTTCCCTGCCTCGCCCCCTAGTGTATTCTTTTTGTTGTTGTTATTGTTGGTTATGGGGCCTGAACTCTGGGCCTGGGCGCTGTCCCTCAGCTTTTCGGCTCAAGGCTAGCTCTCTACCACTTGAGCCACAGTGCCACTTCCAGTTTTCTGATGATTAATTAGAGATGAATCTCACAGACTTTCCTGCCTGGGCTGCTTTGAACTGTGATCCTCAGATCTCAGCCTCCTGAGTAGCTAGGATTACAGGGGTGAGCCACCGGCTCCCGGTAGGTCATGGGGCTTGAACTCTGGGCTTGGGCACTGTCCCTCAGCTCTTCAGCTCAAAGCCAGCGCTCTACCACTTGAGCTACAGTGCCACTTCCTGCTCTAGTGTATTCTTAAGTCAAAATAATTCCTGACCAATGTTCTCAGAAAATTCCTCTTTTTCTCTTCTTGAACACTGTTTCTTATTTTTATGTCTTTATAAAGTCCCTGGCACAATATATCCAAGAAAAAACAAATGACTCATGTTAGGTTTAAAAGGTATATAGTAGCTGGGTGCTGGTGGCTCACACCTGTTATGCTAGCTACTCAGAAGGCTGAGATATGAGGACCGTGATTTGAACCCTGTGAAACTCTTAACTCCAATTAATCACTCAAAAAACAGAAGTGGAGCTGTGGCTCAAAGTGGTAGAGTGCTAGCCTTGAACAAAAGCTCAGGGACAGAGACCAGGCCCTAAGTTCAAGCCCCACAACTGACTCTCCCCCAAAAAAAGGTGTACAGTAAACTGCTGGGTGCTGGTGGTTTACACTTAGGAGGCTGAGTTCTGGGGATTATGGTTCAAAGCCAGCTCTGGTAGGAAAGTCCATGAAATTATTTTCTCCAGTTAACCAGCAGAAAAAGCCAGGAGTAGAGTTGTGGCTCAAGTGGTAAAGTGCTAGCCTTAAGTGAAAAAAACTCAGGGACAGCACCCAGGCCACGAGGTCAAGCCCCATGGGCACAGAAAAGGTATATACTAAACATCGTTTTTAAAAACGTTTTTAAAAACGAAGGTAACCCCAGCAAGAACGTGGGAGCCTCGCTAATACAATGAGAAAGCAAAACAAAATGTGAACTTTGGACTCCTCTGCCCAGTTACTTTCTAGGTTTGAGGTTTAAACAAATATACCAGTTACATTGGGAGCTGTGTGACTGGGCCAGGGTGCTGGGCCTGCCTGGGCGGTTTCCGAAGGAGGGAAGGAGTAGGAGAAACGAGGTCAGGACAGAGCCAGGAATTCAGACACAGACACTGCATCAATGGACAGCTGGATCAAGAGCACACAGGCACCATTTTCTTTCCCTTAGCTCACTCACTCCTGTGACCTACAATATTCAGGAAAAGGAAAAGAAGAAAAAGGGACAAAAGGATCATCCCTCTGACCTGGTCTGCTGGTCAGATTTCTGTTGGCCTGGGAACTGAACATGGCTATCTTTAAAACAAAACGTGTATCTTGGAGAACGCTCAGGGAAAATGACTCCTGAAGCATCTGGCAGAATCCAGGCTTTGTGTGTGACATACATTTATGTCCTAGTAACCCAGAGTGAATGCACCGAGTTTGAAATCCACAGGCCCAACTGAGGAGCTAGTGGACAGCTGTGCCCAGCTCACTCTGGCGAGGTGATCAGCCCTGTGTGTCACACGCCTAGCCTGGTATCACACGCCTGGTGTCACACGCCGAGGTGGCCAGCCCCGTGTCACACGCCACACGCTAAGGTACCAGCCTGGTGTCACGTGCCGAGGTGACCAGCCCTGTGTGTCACACGCCTAGCCTGGTATCACACGCCTGGTGTCATGCGCCGAGGTGGCCAGCCCCGTGTCACACGCCACACGCTAAGGTACCAGCCTGGTGTCACGTGCCGAGGTGACCAGCCCTGTGTGTCACACGCCTAGCCTGGTATCACACGCCTGGTGTCATGCGCCGAGGTGGCCAGCCCCGTGTCACACGCCGAGGTGACCAGCCCTGTGTGTCACACGCCGAGGTGGCCAGCCCCGTGTCACACGCCTAGCCCAGTGTCACACGCCTAGCCTGGCGTCACGCGCAGAGGTGGCCAGCCCCGTGTCACACGCCTAGCCTGGTATCACACGCCTAGCCTGGTGTCATGCGCCGAGGTGACCAGCCCTGTGTCACACGCCACACGCTGAGGTACCAACCTGGTGTCACGCACAGAGGTGGCCAGCCCCGTGTCACAAGCCGAGGTGGCCAGTCCCGTGTCACACGCCGAGGTGGCCAGTCCCGTGTCACACGGCTCCGGGCGGTGTCACCTTCCTGTACACTGGGTCGCCGCCTGTGTGCTCAGCTTTTTCTTGAATTAAAAGACATGTTTACTGTTATGATAAAGGTGGGGTTCGGGGTCACAGACATGTTAGGGAACGGCCACATTTCTTTGGGGACCCTGTCACCCCTCCCTCGCGCTCCCCATTTCCCCCACCCCGTTCCCCCCACAAGTTTTAGACTTTGGTAAATGTAGTGTCTGAGAACCGCGGCTGCAGCCGTTCATCCTCTGTCCCCCACCCTCTGTCCCCCCACGTCCCCCGTCCCCCACGTCCCCCGTCCCCCACGTCCCCCGTCCCCCACGTCCCACGTCCCCCACGTCCCCCGTCCCCCACGTCCCCCGTCCCCCACGTCCCCCGTCCCCCACGTCTCCCGTCCCCCACGTCCCCCACGTCCCCTGTCCCCCACGTCCCCCACGTCCCCCGTCCCCCACGTCCCCCGTCCCCCACGTCCCCCGTCCCCCACGTCCCCCGTCCCCCACTCTCTGTCCCCCACGTCCCCTGTCCCCCACTCTCTGTCCCCCACATCCCCCGTCCCCCACGTCCCCCGTCCCCCACGTCCCCCGTCCCCCACCCTCTGTCCCCCACGTCCCCCGTCCCCCACGTCCCGTCCCCCACCCTCTGTCCCCCACGTCCCCCGTCCCCCACGTCCCCCGTCCCCCACCCTCTGTCCCCCACCCTCTGTCCCCCACGTCCCCTGTCCCCCACGTCCCCCACATCCCCCGTCCCCCACGTCCCCCGTCCCCCACCCTCTGTCCCCCACCCTCTGTCCCCCACGTCCCCCACATCCCCTGTCCCCCACGTCCCCCGTCCCCCACCCTCTGTCCCCCACCCTCTGTCCCCCACGTCCCCCGTCCCCCACGTCCCCCACATCCCCCGTCCCCCACGTCCCCCGTCCCCCACCCTCTGTCCCCCACCCTCTGTCCCCCACGTCCCCTGTCCCCCACGTCCCCCGTCCCCCACCCTCTGTCCCCCACCCTCTGTCCCCCACGTCCCCTGTCCCCCACGTCCCCCGTCCCCCACCCTCTGTCCCCCACCCCCTGTCCCCCACGTCCCCTGTCCCCCACGTCCCCCGTCCCCCACGTCCCCCGTCCCCCACGCCTCCTGTCCCACCCCCGCCCGGGCGGCTCCGGGGGTCGCCCGCTCCGGTCCTGCAGGGCCGGGCACAGGCCCTCGGCTATTGCCGGCCCATCGACTCCCTCGGCGATGGTCTGCGCGGCCTGGGCCCGCCCCCCCCCCCCCCCCCCCCCCCCGCCCCGCCGGGCGCCAGGCCGCCGAGCGCCGAGCGGCTCGATGCCGAGCGGGGGCGCAGCCGCGGCGCAGCGGCCGACGCGGGGTCCGCGCCCACCGTCGCCGGCCCGGCCTCCTCCGCGCTCGGCGCCCGCCCGCGCCTTCCTCCGCCCGCCCGGACTCCTCGGGAGCCCCAGGTACCGGCGCCGGCTGGGCGGGGACGACGCCCCGGCCTCGTCGCCCCACAACGTCCGGCGGGGGCTCGGGCCTGGCGGGGCGGGGTCCGGGGAGGAGGGAGGGGGCTGCGCGGTGAGGGGCACCGGGAGATGGCGGGGGGGGGGGGCACGGAGCGGGGGGGGGGGCGGTGGAGGGGGTGAGTGGGGGGGATGATGAGGGAGGGGGATGGAGGGGGGGGATGATGAGGGAGGAGGATGGAGGGGGGGATGATGAGGGAGGGGGGTGGAGGGGGTGAGTGGGGAGGATGATGAGGGAGGAGGATGGAGGGGGGGATGATGAGGGAGGGGGATGATGAGGGAGGGGGATGGAGGGGGGATGATGAGGGAGGGGGATGGAGGGGGGGATGATGAGGGAGGGGGATGGAGGGGGGATGATGAGGGAGGGGGATGATGAGGGAGGGGGATGGAGGGGGGATGATGAGGGAGGGGGGTGGAGGGGGTGGGTGGGGGGATGATGAGGGAGGGGGTGGGGGGGGATGATGAGGGAGGGGTGCGTGGGGGGATGAGTAGGGGTGGAGCCGGGGCGCCCCTGACGTTCCCGGGGAGCAGGCCGAGGCCGAGGCCGGGCCCGCCGCCTGCTGAGATTCCGGGTCTGGGTCCCGAGCTTGACCCGAGCGGGCGGCGGGGCGGCGGGGCGGCGGGGCGGCGGGGCGGCGGGGCGGCGGGGCGGCGGGGCGGCGCGCTTGGTTGTTGGGGGTGAGCGTGAGCGTGTGAGTGCGTGAGCGTGTGAGTGCGTGAGCGTGTGAGTGCGTGTGAGCGAGCGTGAGCGTGTGAGCGTGTGAGCGTGTGAGCGAGCGTGAGCGTGTGCGTGGGGGAAGCCGCCCGCGGGGCCGAGCCGCGACGCCCGGCGCGGGGGGGGGGGGGCCTCGGCGTGGGGAGCGCGGGGCGGCGGCGCGCGGGGGTGACGCGGTGCCGCCACGACCGGCGTTGATGACGTTGTGATGACGTCGTCGATGCTGACATCGCCGATGACGTTGATGTGTTGTGGCGGGGGTCGGGCCTTGACCTCGGGCCCGCCGACCCGGGCTGACCCGCTCCCTGCGCTCTCGCCCTGCGCTCTCCGGCAGGCGGGCGTGGAAGCGGGCGTGGGCCGGGTCCGCGCCCCGCGGGGTTGGGTCGCAGGCGCCGTCCGTCCGTGTCCGTCCATCCGTCCGGTGGCCAGCGCCCCGCCGCCTGCCCCGGGCAGGCAGGTGTCGGAGCGGAGCGCGGGATCCCGAGGCCCGGACCGTCCGCCTCACTGCTGGGACCTGGAGTTGTCTGCGTCCGTGCTGCCGGGCCTGGGCCTTGAACTCGGGTCTTCCATCGAGGCTGGCGCTCCACCGCGTGAGCCACAGCGCCGCTTCCGGTCTTGCGTGCTGTACTGGAGATGAGAGTCTCAGGGCCTTTCCTGCCCGGGCTGGCTTTGAACCGCGGTCCTCGGACCTCAGCCTCCTGCGTGGCTGGGGCGACGGGCGGGTGTGAGCCGGGCGCCCGGCTGGCCTGTCATATGAGCCGGCACGCGGATGGCAGTAGGCGCCTCTTCTCGTGGAAGAGGGTGGGGATGCCGGGCTGCTGCAGAGAAGGGCATCTTGAGTTGAGTAAATATGAAAGCTAATAACGCATCCACGAACAATGGATGCAGGCCTGTTCTCACTCCAGCAAGTGCGGTGGCCCACAGGTACTCATCTTCAAGTTAAGTATCTTTCGCACCTAGGTCCTGCTTTCTCTTAGTTTCTTAATCTTTCCTTGAAAGGTGCATGGAAAGGGAAATAGACCTGGTGCAGGTGCCTCAGGCCCAGAGTTTTAGCTCTTTGGGAAGCTGAGATCACATTTGCAGTTTGTGACCAGCCTTGGAGACACTGAGACACCTCCTCAACCATAACAGGATGTGGTGGCACTGCCATGAGCCTGGCTGTGGGGAAAGGGAGGGGGCGGGTTGGCCTAGGAAAATTGTAGTTCCAGGCCAGCCTAGGCCAAAAAGCTCCTGAGGGCCCATCTCAGTGAAAGTCACTGGAGGCTGTGGTGCTTGCCGGCCATCCCAGCTACAGTGGGCAACTTAAAACAGCAGGATCACATTTAGGTGCACAGCTGGGCAGGAAGCAGGATCCTGTCTCAAAACTAACCAGTGTAGCTGGGCTCTGGTGGCTCACCCCTGCAATCCCAGCCACTCAGGTGGCTGAGATCTGATGATGTCAGTTTGAAGCCAGCCTAGACAAGGAAAGCCTGAGACTCTTTACCTCCAAATAAACACAAACACACACTCACACACTCAGGGACAGTACTCAGGCCCAGGGTTCAAGCCCCAGGACTAACAGACAAACAAACCCATAAACAAGAAACTAACCGGTGCGAAAGAAAGGCGAAGGGGCTGAAGCACTAGAACACCTGCCACACAAGTGTGAAGCCCCCAGTACAACACCCGGGTACCCCAAATAGAGGAAAATGAATTGGTGTTTACTACTGAGTACTAAAATACTAATGCGTTGCTGAGAAATGCATACGTATGTGCTCAGCACAGTGAACACTCGGTGCCTCAGCTATGTTCTGCCATCCTCTGGTCCACATACTGGAAACTTCTATTTGCATAGGACAGCTTTGTGTGATTGGGGGCGGGGTGGGGGGGTTGGGGGGGAGGAATGCTAATCCTGAGACTTGAACTCAGCATGTAGGTGCTGTCCCTGAGCTTTTTTTGCTCAAGGTTAGCACTCTTCCACTTGAGCTATAGCTCCACTTACAGCTTTTTTTTTGTGGTTCATTAAAGAGTCCCATAGACTTTCCTGCCTGGGCTGCCTTCAAGCCAGCATCCTCAAATCTCAGCCTCCTGAGTCACTGGTATGACAAGCACAAATCATCAGCACCCAACATGCACAGCTACTTCTTGAGAAAACTTTGATGATGTTTCTTATGCAAGTAGTTCCCCGTAAAATCACACTGCATATTAGCATATCAACGTCTATGAGATAGCAAAGGAAATGGACTTTGTTTAATCTAGTCTTAATGTATGAAAACATTTTCTTCTTCCTCATAACACAGAGCTCTCCCATTAAATCCCACATTTTATATGAAGATTTCTCTCCTCCAGAAATCAAGCAGTTTTGCATCCGATTTTTGAGCAGAAATCAACTTGTGATGCGATCTACTTGAAGATCGTGTCAGATGCTATAAGCTGAAGGCTGTCTCCCAGGTGCCTCCGCTTCAGACCCGATCACAAGCCTCCGGTGGTTCAGTCTGTGCTTCTGATTGATCAGCTACAAATTGGGGCAACTACAATGCTAGTCTTAGAGACTAAGGGTGACACCTAAGTTTGCTGGTTTAGCGTAAAGGATGCGGCAAAGGGTGTGGGCAGATAGATGTCTTAGGTGCCTAGGGAAAGGTGTGGGAGAAGAGCTTCCACGCACTTCCACTCTCACACAACACTGTGTGTCCACTTCCCTGGGAGCTCTCTGGAGTGCCGACTCTTGGATGTTTAAGGAAGCTTCATTTGTAGGTCTCCTGGATTACGTTGGCCACTGGGAGTCAACTCAACCTGCAGCCCAGAGACTGAGAGGGCTGAGACGTCCCAGCCTTTTAATCATGCCCTGGTCTTTGCTGCTGGAGCACTCATTCTAACGCTGGGGCCGTCTGCTGCCAGTCAGGAGCACGCGAGACTTCCCCATACTGCCTTCAAAACAGGAGGAGTGCCCAGACAGACAGACAGACAGATAGAGAGAGAGACAGACAGACAGACAGAGCTTAAGTACTTTTACTTTGTGAGTGAATATATGTACACAAATACATAACTATTATAATACATTACTCTATCACACTAGTACCTACACAACTTAGCCCTCTTCCTGCAGCACCAGTGGAATATGAGTTTGAATGTTTCTGTGTGCATTATCTTGTGACCACCCAAATTTATGCAAAAGCATAGAAATGACTTTCTGTTTTAGGTGAGGAAACAGAACCATTGCTTACCCAGCTAATTAAAAATGAGGAACGATTGTCATCAGCTACAAGATAAAATCATTGAGCAAAACATTTTCGGGATCCACCCCTATCTCTTCTTTCATTTTACAAACTCCTACAGAGACCTATTTCCTCCAGGTATTTTCTTAGGGAAGTATACTCTGTCTTGAAGGTTTTCGTGTTTCTAAAGTGGTGACCGGGAGGAGGGCCGCAGCACACGGGGCCTTGTGGGCCGCCGCCGATGATTTACCCTCGGCCCAGAGGTTCCCTGCCTGATAGGATTTATTTTCTCTTTAGGGTGAATACTGCCTCTGCTGGGAAATAGAAGAGTGTGAGTAGAAATATGCCCCCCAAGTTCAAGCGCCACCTCAACGATGATGATGTTACTGGCTCGGTGAAAAGCGAAAGGGTGAGTTCAGAATCTTAACTTCAAAAAAGAGATGTTTGTATTCCCTTTGCAAAGTCACAGAAAAAAATAACAACTAAAGTTCATGGCCACTGCCGGGCAGTAAAAGGGATGTGCCTCCTGCTTACCCTGACTGGTCACTGCTGACATACGAGGTGTCAAAAGACAGGTTAACAGGAGAAAGAGTAATGATTTATTTGTTCTTAGTCTTACATGACATGGGAGCCTTCAGATTTAAGACCCAAAGAACAAGGTTGACGCCATTTTCTTTTTTTCTTTTGGTCCATCTTGGGGCTTGAACTCGGCCTGGGCGCTGTCCCTGAGTTCTTCAGCTCAAGGCCAGCACACTACCACTTCAGCCACAGCACCACTTCCGGTTTTCTGGTGGTTTATTGGAGATAAGTCTCATGGACTTGCTTGCCCGGGCTGGCTTTGAACCAGGATCCTCAGATCTCAGCTTCCTGAGTAGCTAGGATGACAGGCGTGAGCCACCGGTGCCCGGCCAGGTTGACTCCATTTTTATGCCTCAGTTCAATGAAGCATGGACAGCCATGCAGAAATATGATGATACAAAAATGATATGATCTAGTGTAATATAAGTGGGAGGGAGGGAAACTTTTTGAGGCCTGTCTGTCCAGATTCTTCCAGCCTCTCTTTGAATCATTACTTCCTTCTGGGTACGAGGCAGGCTCCCTTGTGGAATGGGGGTCTCATGATGTCAGTCAAACAAGGTAGGTCAGAGAATCTTTTATGGACAGCTTTTAAGTAGCAAGGTAGGGGACGATTAGGGCAGTGCTTTCTAACTTTCATGGCTGGCTTTGCGGAACGGAGGTTCTGTTTCCTTCTTCCCTGGGGAAGAATTCTAGTGTCTGTGGCTTTCCTGGAGGAAGGATGCGGGATAAAACAGGAGGTCAGGAACCAGGAATTCCTGAAGTCTTAGGGTATCATTTTTCTGAGCTGCCAATGCCCCCCCCCCTCAAAAAAAAAAAGAGTCTGAAGAACTTTCTTTCCCAGTCTGGCTTTGCACTGCGATCCTCAGACCTCAGATCCTCACTGTCCTGAGGAGGAGCTAGGGTTCTAGATGTGAGCCACCGGGGTGGGGCTGTATAGCTTTTATTCTTGAATACAGAACTCAGACCACTGACAGTCACGTGATAACTAATAGGTGTGGACTTGTGCACCAGTCCATCCTCTGCTGGCCCTTCACCCTGGTATTTGGATGGCACACTTGTCAGCCGGGCCTCAACTCAGACTTCATCCCTCACAATGAGTCTCCATGGCCGAGTCAGCTCATCGCTGTCTGTTTCACTGAGGTCTTATTTCTGGCGTAGCATGCAGGGGTGTGTGTGTATGCCTGAGCCAGTGTGCATGTGCACCAGCACTGAGCTTGAGCGCAGGACTCACTCTCTGGCGTGGCTTTCTTCCGCATAGTTGGCACTCTACCACTTCAGCTATGCCTTCAGTCTATGGTTGATTTTTTTCAGTGAGAACTCAGACTGTCTGTCTTGTTCACAACTAGTGCTTGGTGTGTTGAATAATGCCCTAGCATGTGAAAATACTCAACAAGAATTGTTAGGTGACTATTTAATTTTTCTACTGTTAATCGTGTTAAATTCTATTTTACATAATGACATTCATTATCTTACATTCATTACTTACGTATTTCCCCTCTTTTATACCTTTTGCTAGGTTGGGTTTTTTCCCTGGCCTCTCTATCCCAGGGGCCTCTCCCCCCTGTCTGACGCACTCACATTATATTTTGCCCACCATCCTTCAGTAGTGCGCTGTCAACGCTCCACACTCGGCACTGCGCCTTTACTCGCAGTGCCCTTCTTCCAGGCCTCTGAGACGTTACAAGGTAACAGCTTCTCACTCTCAATCTGAAATCTCAGTGTTTCTCTTTTTTTTGACAGAGAAATCTTTTGGAAGATGATTCAGATGAAGAAGAGGACTTTTTTCTGTAAGTTTTTCTTTTTTTTTTTTTAAACAAATTTATCAGGGTCCAATTGACATACAACAAAACAATAAAATGCATGTATTCAGAATGCATAGTATGAGATATAACATGTATTATAAACTTAGGAAATCATCACCAAAATCAATCATGAACAAGAGTATCACCCCCAAAGTGTCTCCATAGCTCTTAGTAATCCAGTCCAGAGTAATCACTACTCTGCTTTCTATAATTATGGAACCTAGAGTTTGTGTTTTCTAGAACTTTCTATAAATGAAATTATAAAATATGTCCCTTCTTTTTTTTTGGTCTGGTTGTGGGGCCTGAACTCTGGGCCTTTGTGCTGTCCCTCGACTCTTCAGCTCAAGGCTAGCGCTCTACCACTGGAGCCACAGCACCACTTCCGGCTTTTTTCTTTTTGCTTATGTGGTGCTGAGGAATCGAACCCAGGGCCTCAGGCATGCAAGGCAAGCGCTCTACCACTGAACCACCTTCCCAGCTCCTCCCCTTTTTTTTTAACTTCATATGTTCAGAATAAATTATTTTGAGGATTCATCCATGTATCCATAGTTAGGAGTTTTCCAAGTAGTACTCATTTATGAATATATATTCATATGAAGTGGTAATTACTTTAATTTTGCAGTAAGTATTGCAGTTGATTGTTTCAATTATTGATACTGCAATATCATAAATATTGAAATTTACTCACTTCCCATTTGTTTCTAGTTTTGACTGTTACAAATAAAGGGGCTGTAAACATTAGTGTATATTTTTCTTTTTTTTTGTTTTTGTCTTGTTAGTCGTGGGGCCTGAACTCTGGGCCTGGGCACTCACTGTTTCTCAGCTCTTCAGCTCAAGGCTGGCGCTCTACCACTTGAGCTACAGCACCACTTCCAGCTTTTTCTGCTTAATGTAGTGCTGAGGAATTGAACCCAGGGCCTCATGCATGCAAGGCAAGTACTCTACCACTGAGCCACCTTCCCAGCCCAAGTGTATGTTTTTCTGTGGACATAATGCTAATATCTAGAAGTGAAAGGCAGGCTAGTCTACATTTACAACTACTTTCCAAAATGGCTATACCATTTTATATTCTCCGTAGCAGTATATAAGAGTTTTAATTGCTCCAACTGCTCACTCATACCACACAGCCCGCCTGTCTCACTCAGCTGGTCTAGAGGGAATCAGGTAACACCTCATTGTGGTTTTAGTTTGCATTTCACTAATGACAGATAATGTTGGACGTCTTCAGTGTACTTGTTTTCCATTCTTACGCCTCCTTTGATGAAGTCTGTTTTCTAGTCTTTACTGTTTTCTCTTTTCAGCGCTGGGGCTCAAGCCTTAAGGCCTTGTGCGTGATTAATGGGTGCTCTTTCCCTATATCCTCAGCCCTTACCTGTTGTTAATTTGTCTTCTAACTAAGTTGTAAGAGTTTTTCAAATTCAGTAGAGAAGTTCTTGGTCGGATACATGCTTTGCACATGTTTGCTGCTAACCTTTTAATTTTTATAATAGTATCGTTGGAAGGGTAAAGCTTTGAGGTTTTTCCTTGCGTTTTGTGTTTTGTTTTTGGCCGTTCTGGGGTGGAGGCCAGGGCCTTCAACTCTAGGCCAGCGTCCTCTTGCTGAAGCCTCCCCTCCAGACTGTGTGTGTTTGTCTTGTTTTTTGCGACAAGGTCTTGCTAATGTTGCCCAGCTGTTCAGACTCTCAGCGCCCCTCTGGACGGCTCAGTGCTGGGATGGCAGCACCGCCAGCCCGCATCCCTTTTCCATTGAGGGGGTCTCGGTCCTGTGCCCAGCTGTTCAGACTCTCAGCGCCCCTCTGGACGGCTCAGTGCTGGGATGGCAGCACCGCCAGCCCGCATCCCTTTTCCATGGAGGGGGTCTCGGTCCTGTGCCTGTTTAAACAGGCAGTGCAAAGGCCAGACTTCAGTGTCTTTAGTGAAGCTTTTGCTCTGTCTCTCTCTCAGTCAGCATTTCATCCTAGCCTGAATTCAAGGTGAACTCCGACTTCTAGTGTCTTGTAACTCACTGGCAGTTTAATTGGTGTGGTGTAGGTGCCAGGTTTTGTTTTGTTGATACTGTGACATTGCTCGCATATCATATTTCAGAATTTAATGAGTAAGCCCTGCACCAGTAGCTCATACCTATGATCCTAGCTGCTCAGGAAACTGAGACCTGAGGATCACAGTTCAAAGCCAGCCTGGGCAGGAAATTTCATGAGACTCTTACCTCCAATAAGCTACTCAGAAAAAGCCAGAAGTGGTGCTGTGGCTCAAGTGGTAGAGCACTCAGGGACAGTGCCCCGGCCCTGAATTCAAGCCCCAGGACCAATAAAAGACAAAGAAGATTAATGATTAGGAAAAAACTATATACCACTAAGGATTATATAAGCCCTAATTTCTCAGAAAGTTTTCACATTGAAGATAATTAGGTTAGTTATGGCTGCCAGTGTACCAGTACAGTAGAAACATGACTATGTAGTAGATGCTGAGCATCAAACAGGGTTCCAAGGAGACTGCCTGCAAGGAGAAATGCTTGAGCACAGAGTTCTGAGCGCGCCCGCCTGACACCGCACCTTTCAACAACCCGAATGTTGCCACCTTCTCACTTGACTTTTACCACGCTTTTGGGACCAGGCTTATTTCCACAGAGTTAGGGGCAGGGAGACTGGTAGACCACACAGGAATTTCCCTATCTGGGCTGGCAATAACACGTAATCCGACTGATGAGGTGTGTGGATGTGTGCTTTCTGTTCTGTTGTTTTATCATTCCTAATACTGATGTTTTCTTTTCAGAAGGGGACCATCTGGACCAAGATTTGGACCTAGAAATGATCAAATTAAGCAGTAAGTTCCCTAGCTACTCATTTGTTTAAACGATTGTCATATTTCTACATGGACCAGGAACTGGAAAACTGGAAAACTACAGTGTAGGCCATGTCTTGCCCCTGCCCGTCCTTGTGAACAAAGTGTTATTGGAACATGGCCCTGTTTGTTTTCACATTATCTCTGTTTCTTTTTAAGCAGCAGCAGCAGCAGGATTGAGTGTTCTCACAACTAACTGAGAATTATGGGCCAAAAAGTTAAACTACCTGATGTTTGATCTCGTACAGAAAAAAAATATCGTTACCTGGATGTGGTAGCACATGCCTACAATCCCAGCACTCAGGAGAGTGCTGAGTTCAAAGCAGCTCTGGGTTACAGAGAAAAACCCTGACTTAAAAAAAAAAAGGTGGCAGGAGGAGAAAGAGCAACAGAAATGGTTGGTCCTTCACATAGACTAAATGTAACCTAATTCTTTTTATTTTTACAAAGCTACCTCTGAACTATCTCAGTACTGCAAGATTTGGGTTTTTTCTTGATTATCTTATGTCAGATCTATTAGTGCAACCTGAAGATCTATTTTGGCTTTTAATTATATTTCCATTTTCAGAGTCATAAAAGAAAATAGGTAATTTTCTATAGCATTTTTTAATCTACTTCCACAAGTTCTTTCATATTTGTAACTAACCCTAATGCATATTTTAGATTCAGGCTTTATTACTTTTATGACAATTTTTAGTTTAAAATTTTTGCTATGTGTATCAGGTGATGCTAGATGATGAGCAATATGCTATGGTGATATCTAATGTTGAAAAGACATTAATTCTGATGTAAAAGGAAAAGGAGTAGATAGCAGTAAATCACTTGATTCCAATTCAGACAGTCTATCACACAGAAAAGGAAGAGGCGCCCTTTCTAGACTGCAGTTAAGTGGGTTTGGTGGGTTGTTCCTGTCAGTTGTGGGGCTTGAACTCAGGGCCTGGGCGCTGTCCCTGAGTGCTTTTGCTCAAGATTAGTGCCTTATCACTTTGAGCCAGAGCTTCACATCTGGTTTTCTGGTGGTTAATTGTTGATAAGAGTCTCACAAACTTTGCTGACTGGGCTAGTTTTGAACTGCAATCCTTAGATCACAGCCTCCTGAGTCACTAGGATCACAGGGGTGAGCCATCAGCGCCCTGCTTAGTTAAGTGGTTTTTATATTCTGCAAATATTGCCTGCAGAATGTGTTCATACTTCATCAGTACCTGGACCGTGATTGGAAACCGTTTTATGACAGTCTCCTAAGGGAGACATGGATGTGAGTGGAAGATGGCTTCAGGTTACCCCTCAAGATTCTAGAGGAATCTACCAAGAGTCAGAGTTGCTGTGTTCAGTCACGCCTATCTGCAGTGTGTGAATGCCTGCAAGGGTACCAGGATGTTAGAGCTGAGCCAGAGTGACCTCTGCGTCCACGCACACCTGTGTCCATACCTGTGCCTCCTTCTCGTATACTTCAATTGTTGATGAAGTAGAGGAATGTACTGATGACATGCCGTGTCTCTGCCCTGCCAGTTACGCTTTACCTATCTGATAATCCCATAGAGAAGATTTTCCAATTGAATCTTAAAACCACTGCGGTTGTACGTAGTAGTTAATGTAGATTATATGTATATTTATCTATGTTATCAAGTGTCAAACACAAATGGATCTGTATCTGTATTTAAAGTCTTACAATAACTTTGTCAGTCGCAGAATTTTAGAGGACTTGTTGAGAAAATATAATGGCTTTTACTGTGAAGCTGGAGACTGGCCAAAAGGAATTAGAAGTCAGTCATCAGGATGGCTCAGCCTCACGAATTGCTGATCAAAACAGGACCACATTCACCATGTGCCCAGCATGGCAGACATAACCTTTCACACCAGTTCCTCAAGAAAACCTCTGGCATTAGTTTAGTACCTAAAATTGATCATTATCATTAAGCTATTTTATTACCACTTAACATCTCAAAAGCAAATTTCTTTTTTTTTTCTTCTTTGGCAGTGCTAGGGTTTGAACTCAGGCCCTCATTCTTACTAGGCAGGTGCTCTGCTATTGAGCCATGGGTCCAACCCTTTTTGCAGTAGTTATTTTTGTCCCTGGACTATGATCCTCCTTGCTCACACTTCCTGCTGTGGCAGGGGCTGAGGTAGAGTCTTGCTGCTTCTCTGGCTGGGTTTGTCTGGAGCTGCAGTCCCCCCTTCTCGCCTTGCGTTAGCTGGGGTGACAGGAACAGCCATTACAGCCATGACAGTGTTTCCTGGGCTGGCCTCCAACCATACGTTCACAATCTCAGCCTCCCAGTAGTTGCTACAGATGTGAGCCACCAGCACCTAAGGGAGTATTCCTTGACTATCTAGATCATCAGCACTGTTGCTTTGACAATGATTGTCCACTCATTATTAATGCTGAGAACAGATTAATATAACAAAAATAACCAGGATCCCTTTTTAGGGTATTTGGAGGAGCAAGATTTTAGTTATTTGTGTGTATATAAAGATTTTGGTGTTTTTTGTTTTGTTTTGTTTTTTTGGGTCGTGGGGCCTGAACTCTGGGCCTGGGCGCTGTCCCTCAGCTCTTCAGCTCAAGGCTAGCGCTCTACCACTTGAGCCACAGCGCCACTTCCAGCTTTTCTTTTTGCTTATGTGGTGCTAAGGAATCGAACCCAGGGCCTCAGGCATGCAAGGCAAGCGCTCTGCCACTGAGCCACCTTCCCAGCCCCAAAGATTTTGTTTTTCTTTGGAGTGTTTTCTTTGCTTTTTAGTTAATAACATTTTTAATACTACTCTGCTGAATGGTTAATATTCATGAATAAATAATCTCCCAACTATGAACAAGAGATGTAGTTGCAACAGTAAAACAGAATGTTAAAACTTCTTTTGTCAACAGTACCTGAAAAGACCACAAGATGGGGATGTTAATGATGAAAATACATGTTTTCCTTACAAAATAAGGGAGGAGTATGTCTTGTAGAGCACAGATTTTTTCTAGTGGAAAAGCACATGCTTAGGCATTATGCTAAGTCTTTGACAAACTATGACTTTTAACTCTATCAACAGAAATTACCACCATCATTTCAATGTTGAGAAAAATGCAAGGCTAAAAGAGACTTGCAGAGTGGCGTCTGTAATCACAAACATAATGAGCGATAAGCTGGATTGCAAAGCCAAATATGAATTTACAGTCTCTGTTCTACTACAAGAGGATGAAAAACAACATTGGAAATGCCTTTTTCTGTATGTTCTGTATCCTTTCTTCCATATGACCTTCATGCCTGATTTACAGACTTGCTTTTCCACGGAGTGTCCTTTTCTATTTCAGTTAAATGCCATTATCTTTCTACTGTCACTCAGCTGCACAGGTTATGAACTTAGTTATTACTTTTTTTTGGGGGGGGGTCCGGTCATGGGGCCTGAACTCTGGGCCTGGGCGCTGTCCCTCAGCTCTTCAGCTCAAGGCTAGTGCTCTACCACTTGAGCCACAGCGCCACTTCCGGCTTTTTTCTGTTTGCTTATGTGGTGCTGAGGAATTGAACCCAGGGCCTCAGGCATGCAAGGCAAGCGCTCTACCACTGAGCCACCTTCCCAGCCCCTTATTACGTATTTTTTGTCCCCACTTCTTTACCCTATCTATCATTTAGGGTAAGTGCCCTGAAATGCCCCTAATCTTACAGGGAATGAGGCTGGTAGCATGCGTTCCTTTTTTCATCTCATAGGAAGTGGCCCACACCATTCAGCTGTGTGTTGTTAGGCTCAATGTGCTTGAATGTGTTCTGCACTGTCATATGCTGCTGAGCTCTAGTTTTATTTAACTGTGGTCAGACAACACAAGGAATTATGTCAGCATATGTCTGTCTGCTCAGATTGCTGTAAGTACCAGGACGTGATCTATTTTGGAGAAGGGTCCACGGGCTGCAGAGAATGTATATTGAATACAATACTCTGTAGCTATCTTAAATGCAGTTGGTCTATTGTGCTATTTTGTTTTAATTAGTTCAGTTTTAATTGATTTTCTTTGTTTGGGTGACTTACCTCTTGGCGAGAGGACATTGTGCTGGGGTCTTGCGTCGTGTAGTGTCTGTTTAATTCGCTTGGCTGTGGTGCTGTTTGACGCATTTAAGTTAGCAATCACCTTCTCTTGTTGGATCATTCCCTTAACAAGAAGTGACCTTTAGGGCTGGGAAGGTGGCTCAGTGGTAGAGCGCTTGCCTAGCATGCAGAGAGGCTCAGGGATGGTGCCCAGGGCCTGAGGTCAAACCCAAGACTGGCAAAAAAAAGAACTGACCTTTGTTATTCTGACTGACTTTGGCTTGAAGTCCACTTACCGTACGTCAGTGTGGGCACCCTGCCTGGTGGGCGCTGTCTGCTGCCTTTCCACGCTCGCCAGCCAATGAGTTGGTCTCTGCTTATTTATAGGGTTAGTATAAAGGCAATCAGTGCATCACCACTTCTGTCCCCACCCGAACATAGTACCTAGTGAGTGTCACTGCTGCATTTGTTCACCCTCACGTCCCTCCATCTTCGTGGAGATGTGTTCTTAGAGGCGACAAATAATTGAATCGTGGTTTTTGGTCCAAGTTGCCATTTTGCTGCTTTACTTTAGCCTATTATCATCAGTTATATAAAATAAAAATCACTACCTAGAAATTGCAGGTTTTGTTCTTGGTGAACATAGATTGAAATCTGTCTTATTATAGTTAAGTGTAAGTCTCTACAATTACTGCTTAAATCTGTCACTTAAGTCTCTCTCCTCTCCCTCTCTCTCTCTCTCTTTCTCTCTCTCTCTCTCTCTCTCTCACACACACACACACACACACATCCGTACACCAATATTGTAGCTTGAACTCAGGGCTTTATACTATTGATTAGCTTTTTCACTCAATGTTGGCAGTGGAGCAGTACCTCCACTTCCTGTATTTCTTTCTCAAGCTAAATCTGCTTGGCAGGAATCATGCTCAGTTTCTTCATTTATTAAAGAAATACTAGTACCTATTTTGCACAGAGTATTATAGTGGAGTTCTAATGTAGACAAAATAGCCAGTATTCCTGCATTCATTGAACTTACCTTCTAGTTGGGAGAGGCAGAAAATAAGCATGTAAGTAAGTTAACAGACAATTGTACTTTGTGTTAAACACGGAGATCAATTGACGGGGTTGTCCATTTTATTCTTTGTTGTTTCCTAGTACCTAAAACAGGACATCATAGATGTTTATTACTTTGTTGGAAATAGTGATTGAAAAAATAAGTATTTATGAACTGCTGTTATATAGGAAAAAGCTCCTTAGCTCTCTGCTTAGGTAAGTGATAGTAGCAACAAGACATCTAGAGGCTCAGGAGCTATTTCAGATCTTTGGGAAGAAAAGCACTCTGCATGTTGTTGCGAGGTTGGGCTTTGGTCTTAAATCCTTCTGCAGAATAATGTGTGGGAAGCATGGAGCTCTGGGAAGTTGTAATGACTCCTGAAGACTAAGTGCAGATAATCAGTGGGTGTGACTATTAGCACGTACAGTAATTGGTATTTAAGTGTGGGGGTGCTTCTGACTCTACCTGTATCTAAACGGGCTTCCATTTTGCTTTTTGACGCAAACTCTTTGAGGGCACAGCTCAAAGGAGAGAGATCTTTTTCAGAATTACACACAACCGTGCCTCAGCTCTAAGTCTCAGGGTTAGTTTGAAGGGGATAAGATGGGGTAGAGGGCAGAGAAGAAGTGTGTATTACGAAGTTTTTATTTAAAAAGCTCCCCGCTGATACACATTTTTCCTCCCCAACTAGAAACAACCACGTCCTTATTTACTTAAATACACATACCTATTTAATAATTAGTTGCTAATAATCTAATGCACTTCACACATTTTTGTGTTATAAGAAGTAGAAGTTCACTGTACGTCTTTTCAAACAGTTATTGTGTTGTGATTATTTCATACAGTGAACTTCAGATCGTTTTTTGTATTGTAGTTAGGGCATCAAAGGGAGGCTGGACACTTGAGCAATCTCTATTGAGCTGTCTCTAACAAAGAGTTAGGAAATGTGGAGTTAACAAATGGTGGTGGTTAAGAACCAATGTTAATGTTTAAGTTTGGATATATTTGCATAGAACAGTCTGAAGTTTGGTTTGAGTGGGCTCTGATACCTAATAAAAAGGAGAAAAACATTTTCATTTTGGAGAATTATAAAAGCAAGTTTTTTCATTTTTGTTTCCCACTCGGCACTTGTGAGTGTTCTCAGTTGTTTTAACCCCTCTACGTTTAAGAGAAAATTAGAACTCTGTGAGAATTTGCTAGTCTTTATTACATCCAAAAAAAAAACATTTCAGAAGTTATGAACAGTCTTAGTAGGGTAATAAATGATTTATATCTTCTTTTAAACTAGTGTGCAGAGCCAGGTGGATGAAGTTATTGATGTCATGCAAGAAAATATCACAAAGGTAATTGAAAGAGGGGAGAGACTGGATGAGCTGCAGGACAAATCAGGTACGGACACCTCACATGCTTGCCGACATTATGAACCCCTGTTTTCTTAATGTATGTCTCCTATTCGTTTAGCCTTGTTTAAGAATCTTGACTTAGTCAGTTAATATTTGATCCTGAAAGTTACAGTTTTTCATGACATAATTTCAGTTCCCTTTACTTTGAGCATCTAATCATTGAATCACTTCCTAATTGCTCAGCCAGGAATGGACACTTTTAAATGCATTGTTAGAGAGCGATTTTTTCTTTTTTGACTTGCTACATTGCTGTGCCTTGTGTTTGTCATGTGAAAGCTAAGGTCTGATGCCTTTTTTTTTTTTTGGGTCCAGTCATGGGGCCTGAACTCTGGGCCTGGGCGCTGTCCCTCAGCTCTTCAGCTCAAGGCTAGCACTCTACCACATGAGCCACGGTGCCACTTCCGGCTTTTTTCTTTTTGCTTATGTGGTGCTGAGGAATTGAACCCAGGGCCTCATGCATGCAAGGCAAGCGCTCTACCACTGAGCCACCTTCACAGCCCTCTGATGCCTTTTTAAAACATGTACTTGAAGCATATCTGATACTGTTATTTGTGCTCTCCGATACGTCATTAACCTTTCTTTACAGACTGATATTGGCCATAGCGCGGTAACTCCTCCTGGCATATATTAGATATGCAAATGGTGAATGGTTATGTCTCGACAGATTTGCTTGACCAAAAAATGCAATCTTTTAAAAAATTGATAGTTTTCCTTCAAAATGACTTACTTAAGCATTTCTCAGAATCGAATCATTCCCATGAGTAATTTTTCTCTAGGGATGTCCCAAGCCTTTTTGTTTTTGTTTCTTACACTGGGAATTAATTTGCAGCTATAGGAATGAATATGTTCTCATCTTTGTGGGACTGGGTTAAAGAATCCTGTTCTGTTATTTAATCTTCCTTTCCACCCTCTATGTGATACAGAAAGCTTATCGGACAATGCAACTGCTTTTAGCAACAGATCGAAACAACTTCGAAGGCAGATGTGGTGGCGAGGCTGCAAGGTAAGGAGGCCAGTAAATACTGTGGAGCTTGGTCAGCTCCCAAGTAGCTGCCAAGGGCTTGAGGGAAGGGGAGCCCTGGAACGTAAGCTCTCTGAGGACAGGGATTGGAATGGCCTTGCTCATCTTTTTTTCTTCTGAGCTGGGGCCATGGTGGGAAGTCGGGACATATATGTTGGGTTAATCAGTTACTCTGGGGACGGGACTAAGGAAAGGACTCAAGCTGTGCCTAAAAGGCGGTTTGGCTAGCTTGCTTCATGAGAGTAACACACACCTTACCCATAATGAAGCCAACTCTTTCTATAGTTTTTTTCCTGGCAATACTGTCTTCAACTAATCACAGAAAAAAGCTGGAAGTAATGCTGTGGGTCAGGTGGGAAAGAGCCAGCCTTGAGCAACAGATGCTTAGGGACAGCACCCAGGTCCAGGATCGGCATAAAACATTTAAAATAAGAGCTAGAGAAAAAATTGATTTTCTGTTCAGAGGGGACAAATTTAAAGCATTGCATAGTCAGAATCTCTACTGACAAAAGGGTTAAGGGAAAAAATCCCATTGTCCCTCATTATCCCAGAGAAATAATGCTTTGACAAGAGAAATACAGAATCACTGCACTACAGACACTACATCCCTGCAGGGTACCCCATGGGAGCGAGCCTACTCTTAAGTCAAGGAAGACCACTGATCATTAAACAGATTTTATAGTGAATCTCATGTCCTGTGAGCAAATCTGTTTTTCCTCCTTATTCTAGGTTTAATCAAAAAATCACAGACATGAATACTATGATCTCCCATTTTTAAGTTCAGAAGTAACTTTTTAACCCAGACTTTGCCATATGCTAAGGGTTTCTCCCAAAGGTCATATAGAGGAACAGTTATATAGACTTGGTACTGTCTGGTCTCCGGCATTCACTGGGCAGGCACAATCACGAGGTTATAAATATCACATAAGGACGGACCCTGGACTGTTAAACTCTGGGTTTGCTGTCTCTGTTCCTCACATTATGACACTTGTACAGAGCTGCTAAAGGATCACACACCTTTCCTGATCTCAAGGTAGAAATAGCATAAGAAACAGAGCATGCGCAGACATTTGAAAAGGCCTGGCTGGAATGCTTTGTTAGAACAGTTTTTCTGCAGTGCAGCCTTGAATGACAAAGTCCAGTGAAGTAAAAAGCTTCAAATTAAGGGAACTCCTAATTATTTACAAAAGGCTGCAAACTCATAGGAGAAACAAATTGGAAATCTTTCAAGGAATGTTCCTGTTGCATGCTGAACCTCTTATATGGTGACTAGGAGAACAGATAGTCCTGGCTTTGCTGTCAGATGGAGCAGCACCTCTCATGTGCTCTTTTTGTGTATTGTAGATAAAAGCCATCATGGCTTTGGTTGCCGTCATCCTTTTGCTAGTGATTATCAGTAAGTATTTATTGGCTTAATTCTTCCTGGGTTACTTATTTTGCAGTTCATCTTAATTCCTTTTAACTTCAGATGACACGGGTATATCTAAAACAAGATTGAATAATGACTTCTGACTTGTGAGTCTTTAACCTACAATGTATGAAAATGTTCTTAAAGTGGTTGTGAGACTTTATGTGCACATGCACATGTTTTTATCTTTGTCAGATTCTTACAGAGAACTCATTTCCTCCTCTTTGCCCACACCCCAAACAAGGCAAGTCTGGTTCCTGTTATACCAGAATATTCATTTTTTTGTTTACTGCTAACTTCCAGGTACCTTTTTTGTACCTAATAATGCGGTTTGGGAAGGGCCCAGCCAGTGAAATTCCTTAGGTAGCTTTTTTTGGTGTGTGCATGTTTTGGAATTGAACTTGATTTGGAACATTAAAGCATAATTTATCCTTAATGTTCTTTGTGCACCTGCTGGGCCTGGAACTCAGAGCTTGTGCACCTGCTTGGCTTTTTCATTCAAGATTTGTGCTCTAACACTTGAGCCATACTTCTAGTATTTGCTGGTTATTTGGAGGTAAGGGTCTTTCAGATTTGTCTGTCCAGACTGGCTCTAAACCTCAAATCTCACATCTCAGCCTCCTGAATAGCTTAGTGGTTTTTTTTTAAGGGCAAATCATTTCCAGTATTTACTTTTTGTTTAGCATTTCCTTGTCTGAAGTTTTAGGAAGCTATTCTTTTTTGTTTGCTTATGGTACTGAACTCAGGGGTCTCTAATTGCTAGGTTGGAACTCTGTTACCTGAACCGTATTTCCAGCCTGCATTTTTGCTGGTTATTTTGGGTCAGTCAGACTTTTCTTACCTTGACTGACTTCAGGATGCACTCTTGGCTCTCTGGCTCCCGAGCCCAAGCGTAAGCCTGCAGCAGCAGCTCTTCTGTTTTGAAAAAAATACTTATGTGTGGATTGTAAATTTGTTGACTAGTAGAAACATAGCTGCCATCCCGAAATCAATCTTCATGTTACTTTTGCAGTCATTTGTAAGAGTTGAGAGCTGCAAAAAATTTCACTGTCCTGACCTGCAGGTCTCCAGCGAAAGCCAAGCAAGGCGGTTTTGGCCTTTTTGTTTCAGTTCTTATTGCTTAGATAAGCATCCTTTACATAATCCATCCACATTTTTGTGCTCTGCGTTGAATTTGCAGTTTAAAATGGACCCCAAGCACAATCCGGAAGCAGTCTACTAAGTGCATGAAAGTTGGGAGTGCTTAACAGAATACGTGTGTCTTTATTTAAAAAGCACACCTAAAACCAAGCTTATATATGCATTATTGACAAAAATGTGTTAGCCAGAGCCTCATCCAAATGTAATCCTATATTTTCCCTAAGAGAAATGGTTCAGGCTGGGCACCGGTGGAGACTCAGGCCTACTCAGGAAGCTGAGAGCTGAGGATCATGGTTCAAAGCCAGGAAAGTCCATGAGACTCTTACCTCTAGTTAACCCCAAAGCTGGAAATGGATCTGAGGCTCAAGTGGTAGAATGCCATGAGGGAGCGAGAAAAAACAACAACAAAAAACCTAGGGTCCCAGAACTGGTACAAAAGAGAAGAGAAAAGAAAAAGTTCAGAACTTCCTAATGCAGCGGGGTTTTTTCCATTTTTTGTAACTATTTCTAGTAATAAGAACCAACAGTATATACTAGACAACGTTGAAAATGTGGTATAAAGGAAAAAAATTGACTAATCTCAGCACACAGAGATAGTTATTATTAATAAACTATGGTAGGCTGGGAAGGTGGCTCAGTGGTAGAGCGCTTGCCTTGCATGCCTGAGGCCCTGGGTTCAATTCCTCAGCACCACATAAGCAAAAAGAAAAAAGCCGGAAGTGGCGCTGTGGCTCAAGTGGTAGAGCGCTAGCCTTGAGCTGAAGAGCTGAGGGACAGCGCCCAGGCCCAGAGTTCAGGTCCTATGACTGACAAAAAATAAACAAACAAAATAAACTATGGTATATCCATCCAGTCTTCCCTATCAGTGTATCGGCATGCGTTTCACAAACTGAGATCGTGTTTTCTAACTGCATGTATTGTACTATCTTCCCATGCTATTAAGTAGTTTCAGTATTTCAGCAGGTGTTTGCTGCCATTGTGCCATACTTTAATTGGGGTGCCAGAGTTAGACATTTGGGTTGTTTAATTTGTTGTTTTCTTTGGTTATTTATTATCTCAGATAAAAGTTTAGTCATTGGCCCTTTTTAAAAGTGGACACACATATATTTAGGAATATTGCATCTAACACAGCAGATAAATCAGATTTTGATAAATATATTTTTTTTTTACTTTTTTTTTCTCTTACAGTTCTTATAGTTGTGAAATACCGTACTTGATTTGATGACAGAGATCCTCATTAAACAAGATCTGGGACAATAATAATAATAAAAGATTGCTGCATAATTTAAATGAAATCTATGTATATAACTTCCCAAACTTCTTTTTCAAGAAATTAAGAGGCAAGTATCCCTTCAAATTGGAGCATTGAGAATGTCCAATTATTGTCTTTCCTTCTAACAAAATCTCCTTTGTATAATTATGTTTAAGGCAAAGATAACTATTTTGCTGTATTCCAAGGATCTAATTTGAAGCTAGATACTTGCCAGTTCATTGTTGGTGTATATAGCTAAACATTGGTGACAGTATTTCATACTAGTATGTTAGTGATATAAGGACTTGAATTACTGCATCAAACGGGGGCAAGACTGGGGTCCGGAAGCCTCTGTTGAGTACCAAGTTAGTGTGCTAAACGCAGTGCGTAACACTTCCTCAGCACTTGCAAGAATGCCCTTCTCTTCCTGTTGGAATTGCTTTGCCAGCGCTTTCCACATGTGTGTGGAGTTGTAACAAAGGCTAAATGTTGTAAATGTTTCTGTCTTCAACCATCACTAAAAGCACTCCAGTAAACTTACTTTTGCTTGTATAAGGGAATATGTTAGTAATTCTTTTGATAGTTGGATTATGGAAATGGGAAATTTGAACAGTGTGAAAATAGCATGGTATCCTAAAACTGGAGACAATAAAATTATTGGAAAATGCCACTGGCGAGTTTGGAAATGACCACGATGCAGCTACCAGCCGTGATCTAGTCTGTAAGGCGAGAACAGCCCTGATGTAAGGAGAGTCACAGGCGACTTTTTCCTGGTTTTGTTTTGTTGCTTGTCTAATCATCAGCTCCCAGTTTTCTACCTGTGCCTCCTCTGAGCCCCGTCAGGAGGTGGACGTTGCACAGAAATGAGCAGGCAACCGTGGGAAGCACTGTACGGCAGGGAGGGAGCGAGAGGCAAATGCTAGGGGCTGCCAGACCACAGCTGCTTTTCAGAACAGTCCAGCGTGCCAACGCTTTGTGTTGCTGGAGCAGGTCAAAGTGATCAGCTTCACGAGTCTGCAGATGTTTTTGTTTTTGTTTTTTTTTGGGGGTCCAGTCGTAGGGCCTGAACTCTGGGCCTGGGCGCTGTCCCTCAGCTCTTCAGCTCAAGGCTAGTGCTCTACCACTTGAGCCACAGCGCCACTTCCAGCTTTTTTCTTTTTGCTTATGTGTGCTGAGGAATCGAACCCAGGGCCTCAGGCATGCAAGGCAAGCACTCTACCACTGAGCCACCTTCCCAGCCCGAGTCTGCAGATGTTTGTACCCATGGCCGTCTTAAGTTAGAAATAGGGTTAGTAGAAAATAATGATCCTATATAACATTTTATCTATTTGGTCATTGTAATTCAAAATGTATAAAACAGAATCTACATTTGTTTCATTTTGCAGTAATTAGTGCAAAGAGGCAAAATGTTCTCTTTAGAATGGAAAGACATTTAAAGGCATTTTAAATGATGTTTAAGACAATTGAAAGAGAAAAATCTAAATAGAATTGCCAAAGTTTATGGTTTCCTTAAAGCATTTGAAAATAGGTAACCATCTTGGTAATTACACAATGCTGCCAGTGTAATGCTGCCTCCTCTGGTTGATGCTCCGGACTGGGAGCCGCGTCTGAATTGCTGATAACTCCTTTGACAAAAGTGCTGAAGAAAAGGAGCATTTTTACAACTGCAGCAGCTAATAGTTTAAGGATAGAAACATTTTTAACTGAAAGGGCAGAATCCGTCCTAACACAATACGTGCGTCCTTTACTGGGCTAGAGCTAGACTTGAGTAGTTTGTGCGTCCTTTACTGGGCTAGAGCTAGACTTGAGTAGTTTGTGCGTCCTTTACTGGGCTAGAGCTAGACTTGAGTAGTTTGTGCGTCCTTTACTGGGCTAGAGCTAGACTTGAGTAGTTTGTGCGTCCTTTACTGGGCTAGAGCTAGACTTGAGTAGTTTGTGTGTCCTTTACTGGGTTAGAGCTAGACTTGAGTAGTTTGTGCGTCCTTTACTGGGCTAGAACTAGACTTGAGTAGTTTTCTGTTAGTTGGTGTTGAAATCTGGTTTCTCCACAATATCTGCTAGTGAAGATAAAGATGATTTCTTTAATTTCTAGTTCTTCCTTTAATACAGTGTGCCACTTTTCAAGAAACAATTATAAAAATAAAATCATAAAATATTTTTTAAATCTTAATCATAAAAATAAAGAAAATATTTATATAAAAACATTGTATATATGTAGTTGTCTTTGTATTTAAGTTCGCTGCGGCTGGGCGCACTGGTGGTGGCACGTGACCCCTAGCCCTTGGCAGTGATGGCTTGGCTCCTGGGTTACTTAGCCTCCTGTCCCCCAATCCTGAGTCAGCCCCGAGAGCCTTCAAACGGCTGGCATGTATCTCTGTGACAGCCCTGTGGCACTGTGAGTGACGCGGGCTTCCTAAAGTCAGAAACAAGGGGAATGGTTGTTCAGATTGTCGCCAGCCTGCTTTGGTTCCTTCCCTTAACCATTGTTTCTCTCATTCAGCTCAGATCATCCTGCACTTGAAAAACTGAAGTTACACCGTCATCAGAACAGTCATTCTTTAACAACAGTGAAGATGAACAGAAAAATCCAAGTAGCTTTGCAAATAGTAGTTGGAACTGAGTGAAATCCAGTCACTGTTCTTATGCCTGAAATGTAACCTTGTGATTTGTGTTTAATTCCAGCCGCCTGTTGCCTGGCAGCCTTTTTGGCATTACAATTCTGATTAACCAGTTCCTCCTTCTGATCATAACATAATAATACGTATAGTCTTTTGGCTCCTCTGTCCTAACAGAGCACACTATAAATTTCCCTAAGGTTTTGTAAACTTGGAGATTTTTTTTTTAATCTTTTGGAGGATTTCTTGATTCAAAGAAAGTTCAATATTGAAGATGGACCAATGTCTAAAGTGGAGGGAGAGAAATTAACACATTATATATGTATATAAAAATGCCCTCTGGGAGCTCTCCTGTAGACTACCTGTCGCTATAGTCCTTTCTGTATATTTCTGTACTCTGCATTTGAAAATTATAACGTTGGCATCATTAAAGCAAAAAGTGTTACCTTTCAACTGTGTGTAGCATGCGGGTGCCCTATAAATGCTTACCGTGTGCAGGCCTGAGCGAGGCCCCACCCACAGCCACCTGGTGTCCCGTAGATACTTGGTGACTAGGAAATGTGCAAGACATGTTCTTCCATGTTGAGAACCAACGCCATCAGATGCCCTTCACTGTATCGAGTCACTGTTATTACACCCATTGGATGGTGAAAGGAGATTTGAGTCAATCTTACTTTTCTATGATTGGGCGAGCGGGGAAGAGCATGAATCAGTCTACATTTCTGAGCATGCAGTGTATGTAGTACTTAATGTTATACAGACAATTGCCACAAAACTGGTTGGAAAGAACCTGAAAGTGCTATTCACCTCATCCATCGTGTGGGGTTTCCCAGGTGGGAAACGCCCAGCACGTAGCCATGTAAGGCCCTCAAAACCATTTGGCACGTGGCAAGACAGACGTTGAATGTTCCTCGTTGGCTGGTATGGCCGACTGTGTATTGGTGATTTTGTATGGCGTGTAAGGATGTTATGCCCTCGGCAGGAAAACAAGCTCCTCTCCCCCTGTGGGGCTTGGGGTTTTTAATTTTGTATTTTTTGAGACTGTGTAACCGTATAGCTAAGGCAGTTTCCAAACTTCCTGTCCTCCTGCCTCAGCCTCCTCCTCAATGCTGGAATTACAGGCCTGCACAACCATACCAGTCTGAGATGGAGTCTTTCTAGATCACCCAGGCTGGTCTCAAATCCTGGGCTCAAGAAATTCTGCCTTAGTCTCCTGCATAGCTGGAGCCATAGGTGTGCAGCCCTGGATCTGGGTGGGCCTTCTTTTTTAAGTTTGATGTTCGTCTGAGTTTTTTTTTTTTTTTCTATAAATTAAACAGAATGAAGGGTGGGGGTCACAGACGCTTTTCCTCTGGCTCTTGCATTAGGTGAGTAGGAATTCAGAGGGAAGTGGGGGTGGCCCGTTACAGGGGTGAGTGTGTGAAGGCAGGGATTGCCCATGTGTTAGCACAGTGCCGCATGTCCCTGGTGATGCCAGGCCAGACGGTGTGGCACAGTCGGCTCACAGCCATAGGGGCGGCCGGTGGGTGGACAGGGGCTGACCTCGAGATCTTATAGTTCAGTGCAGAAACAAGTCTGGTTTCGCAAGTTACTGTTTCATTTGAAAAGGTGATGAAATGAAACCATGTGTTTGTTTTAAAGCTGCACAGTAAGTCAGGAATTTGGTAAAGTGTCAGAAACTCAGCTGTAACTCCACGCCCTGAGTTGATGCCGTGCTTTCACGCCTGACTCCGCGTCCACCATTTGATAAGTGCCTTTGACGCTGTGGTGTGCGGTGGACGAGCCGGGGCCACACGGTGCCCTCCCCCAGCCTCCACCCCCCAGAGCCATTCTTACAGTGTCGCCAATTCTGCGCTTTGTGTTCATCTTGGATATGTATTTGTAGCCCCTCCGTGGTAAACAGGAAAATAAATCATTTCATAGAAAATAAAAGCTACACACCTTGGCCTACGCTGTGTTACCTGTTGCCTTAACCCCACGAAAAGTTTATCTTAGCAGGGCCACCTGCATGGTCACCCTCATGTAGTCCGTCTGCCTCCCAGTGAAGCACACGGGGAAACTAGACAGTAAGCTCTGCTCAGTGGACAGCCTGATGGGGAGCGCATGGGCCTTAAGAGGGATTGCTCAGTATACGATCTCTGTGGACTGTTGGAAAAGCAGATTTTACATGGAAGCACATCCTCTGCCGGGCTCAGAACACCAGCCCGGCCTGCCTCGCCGCCTGAGGCCTTGGGCTAAGCCCTCCAGCCTCCCTCCCTCACCTGAACTGCGTCTTTTGGACTCTGAAGAGGTGTGGGAGGGTGTGTTCCAGGCACACGCACTGAGGTGTGCCCATCGAGGGTGTGTGGATGAGGCTGGGGGGCCCTGTCTGTGTATTGAGCAAGTACCGTCCACTTAACCCTGGAGCAACCCAGGTGGGAAGGCAGGTCTTCCCCAGTCCCAGCAGCCAACCATTGTTGATGCCACCAGGTCCTACAGCCCTCTGCGGGGCAGAGAGATTGTCAATGCCAGCAGATCGACAGCCCTCTGCGGGGCAGAGCGATTGTCAATGCCAGCAGATCTACAGCCCTCTGCGGGGCAGAGCAGATGTCAATGCCAGCAGATCTACAGCCCGCTGCGGGGCAGAGCAGATGTCAATGCCAGCAGATCTACAGCCCGCTGCGGGGCAGAGCAATTGTCAATGCCAGCAGATCTACAGCCCGCTGCGGGGCAGAGCAACTGTCAATGCCAGCAGATCTACAGCCCGCTGCGGGGCAGAGCAGATGTCAATGCCAGCAGATCTACAGCCCGCTGCGGGGCAGAGCAACTGTCAATGCCAACAGACCTACAGCCCGCTGCGGGGCAGAGCGGATGTGTTTTCAGCTGTAGATTTGAAGGAGTGTGGATGAAGAGCCAAGGGCAGGGCACGCTGGCCCACAAGCAGCAGGCCGGGCCTCCCCGGGTAA